ACAAACCCCATTTTCCAACAGACTCTAGGGCCTGTAGGAGGGGCGGTGTGGTATGGGCGATGGCTGTGTCCCTATAGTTAGTTAGTGTGTGTGTGTGTGTGTGCTCTCCTGATTCCACTGTTGGGAGTCATCCTAGATCTAAACAGTTACAGAACTGGGTTTCTGATACCCCCACGACCCCCGCTAGAATTAAACTTGGGGAAATCAGCCCAATCATCACAAACACATACACGTAATCCCAGACACAAACCCGCACACGCACACACTCACTATCTCACACACAGACACATGATCCAAAACTCACGGTTACACAGACAATCCAGGACTCAGAATTATACACACCACACACACAGTCCAAGACATGATTACACACACGTAAGATTTGCTATCACACAGAGATGCACACACACAGTCCAACACTCATGATCACACACAGACACACACAATCTGAGACTCATGTTTGCATACACCCAGAGACCAACACTCACAATGACATACAGACAGAAACACAGTATCTGAGATTCATGATTACAGACAGACACACACAACAATTTTCTCTTGTCTGTTTTATTCCGTTAATGCCACTAAAGGGGAAGTGAATCTGAGCTGAGCGTGGGAGCCTTTAGCAGGGGTGCGCCCGCCTGCCACCTGCGGTGTGGTTATATAGGGCCACATGGCTGGGACGTGGGCATGGGGATCACGAGAGGACGTTCGCCAGCAGGACGGTAACGAGGCCTGGGAGGACAAGTCTGGCTGGTTCTGGAGCCATGCTGGTCGCACGGAAGGCTGGTCTGCATTCGGCCTTGCTGTAATCCATATTGAACTCTGCAAAGGTCCCTTCGAACTTTTGTATATTGGTGCAGTCAGATTCGGTGGCGCAGCCTTTCATGGTGGTGTGCACGGTTGTCCCACCTGTGGGGGGGGCAAAACAGCGGGGTCAGTGTCTAGGGACCTCTGGCCTCTTACGGCTCTCACCCTATACAACACCCTCCCCCTCCTCCTCTGCGCCATTCCCTGCTGCCCATCTAGACCCACTCCCAACAGTCTCCGATCCTCTGCTCTGATATAGTCTCACTCTGTGGACCTCTGGGCAAGTCATGTAGGGCTCTGATCCCTAATGAACTTTGGAGCAGGCCTGTGTTAGTCCCACCATTCACCTGGCAATGGTGTAGCTCACCGATGGTGGCAGAGTGGGATCCTTAAGAAGCTCTCAGGCAAGGGGTCTGTACAGACCTGGCATGTTGGGACTCCCAATTTCAGCCAGGTGGGGGCATGCAGCACCTTGCACAGCAGGGATCCACATCTCAGCCAAGGGATCTGTGCAACCATCCGGATCAAAAAGGTCCCGATCTCAGTTGGGGCATTATACCATTCTACCACCAGTAAGAATGAAATATCTCTGGGACCGCCAGGTCAAACCAGCTGGGGGATTTCTGCAGCAGTCCCAGGGATGGTGTGTTTGTGCCATCACTTTTTCTGTATTACTTTTGATTTGTAGAACAGTCGGCTCTAGAGACACCACGGCAGTGTGGGGGCCCATTGTGCAGGGTGCTGTGCATAGGACAGTATCCCATGTCCATCAGTGGCCAGCACTAGATTCTGCAGAGAAAGGGATCAAAACCGCCCAATAGATGGGATAATCTCCTCCTACTCTATATCTCGTCCTGATTGCTAATAGCTAGAGATCACCTTAAGACCTGAAAGAGGAGGTTCAATATCCCTGCCAACATTTTTACAATCATTTATTATGATCACTCCGATAAGCATACAATCCCTTTTTGAATCTTGTTCCACTCTTGACCACGTACATTTCTTGTGGTGGGGAGTTCCACGGACTAACGGTGTATTGACTGGAAAATGCGTTTCCTTTATCATAATGAACTTGTCCCTTTTCAATTTCATTGAACATTCGCATATGTCCTATCCTGTGACAGCAGGCGTTCAGAAGTTCTCGATCTCCCCGCTCTAGTGCTCAGTGACATTTTTCAGCTGAAACTTTTTTTCCAGTGAAAAATGCAGATTTGACCACTTGAAAACATTTTGCGAATTCAAAGTTACAGAATTGTTTCAGTTGGAAGAAACCCCATAAAAAAAAACTCTGGAAAAAAAATAGAAACTTTTCACTCTTTTGGTTCAAAACAACTTGTCCTGCCAACATTTGTTTTAAAAAACAAAGAACAACATTAACAACCCCTCAAAATCAAAACCAGATGTTTCGTTTGACCCCAAATGAAACTTGTTGGAAGTGCCAAAAAAAAATTAATTTTCGATTGGACCCGAAACAACTATTTTCTTCCTATTTTTTGATGTTGGCATAGAACTAAATATCTATCTATCTAGCTATCTCCCTTATTTGTTCAGCTCTCTGCTTCTCTATCACAATCATAATTTCATATGTTCTAGCATGTCGCCTCTCTTATTCCCAAGGAAAAATAGCCCCAGTTGGTTCCCCTTCTTTCCACAGTTTTTTCCAGACCTTCCTTGTCACCTGTCTCCAAACCCTCATGAATTCTAAAATAAAACCCCAATGGGTGCGTAGGGGAAACAGAGGCACAGTGAGGAGAAATCACAGGGAGAAAATCCAGGTGTGCTGAGACTCTACCCAATTCTTCCCCGCCGCAGGGGATTGCCGGTGTGCGTGGCTCGCTCCTGGATGGGGAAACCTGAACAGAGAAACAGCCAAATGGCCATTACCGCTTTTCACGGTGCCGCTGATGTGGATGCACTGGGTCTGGGCTCCTGTGCAGTCGATGATCTCTTCGCTGCAGTGATGGGTAAACACCGAGTAGCAGGCTGGGCAGCGCAGGCCGTTCAGGGTGGTGTCAGCCGGGGGCACTGGGAAGAAGTGGAGCAAAAGCAGTCAGCTCGGGGACGAGCCCCAGGCGGCGTCGGGGCAGGGAGAGCAGCTGGGGGCTGCACAGCTCAGCCCTGGGTGCCCCCTGCAGGGGGAGCTGTAGCTCTGGGGTCACTGGGGGCAGCAGGGGCAGGGGAGAGGTTTGCAGCAGGGATCCCTGGACCCCGCCCTGGGTGGGGCCAGCTGGGTTCACACCTGGCAGGACCCTAAAGCCCCGCCCACTAAACTCCACCTGAGTGTTGTTCAATGGGGCGCCCCCTGCAGGGCAGGAGGACTACTCCCGGGGCTGATTGTTATTTCATGGGGCGCCCCCTGCAGGGCAGGAGGACTACTCCCGGGGCTGATTGTTATTTCATGGGGCGCCCCCTGCAGGGTGGGAGGACTACTCCCAGGGCTGAGTGTTATTCAATGGGGTGCCCCCTGCAGGGCGGGAGGACTACTCCCGGGGCTGAGTGTTATTTCATGGGGCACCCCAATGGATTCTTGCATAATCCTTTTTCCATTCTCCCACAGAGACTCCTGCAGGGGTCAGGAGGAGGAGGAGAGGACATGAGGAAGGGGAAGAGCTGGAGGGAGAAGGAGCAGGGAGACAGAGACGGAGCTGGGTACCGGTAACGGAGGCTGTTTTACAGGCCTGCCCCACACAGCAGGCGATGTTCGTGCTCATGGATATCCCGTTCCCAAAAGTCATGTAAAGAGGACTGAGGCCACACTGCTTGGAGGACATGCAGGCCTTGATAAAGGTAGGACTCTTAATCTTGCCTGCATGGGAGGAAGAGGAGATGAGGCTTCATTCGCTGGTGTTGCTGTCTCCACCTCCCCATCACAACTCTTCACATGCATGATCATGATCAAGATGGGGAAACTGAGGCACGGCATACGGGAGGAATGATTCATCCAAGGTCAGTATAGAATCAGGAGTGCTGATACCCACTGCTGCTTCCACCCCCTCAACCTAACCCTCTAGATCTCTCTCCCTTTCCCAGAACCAAAGATGGAACCCAGGAGTCCTGGCTCCCAGCCCCTACTACTCAAACTCACCAGACCCCACTCCCTTCCCGGAGCCAGGGATGGAACGCAGGAGTCCTGGCTCCCAGCCCCCTGCTCTAATCCACTAGACCTGCCCACCTCCTGGTACTGGGAAGGGAATGAAGGATGGCTGACTCCAGACTGTTCAGGGCTGGTTCAAGGTATCCGGCACCCACCTGCTACGGTTTCTGTTTTAATGATCCCACAGGAATCCATTCGCTCACTGCAGACTTGCACACCGCCCGTACAGCTGTCATTTGTGCTGAAGCAAACCTCGCACGAAACACAGGTCCCTGTGGAAGGAAAGGCAACACGATTCATCTGTGCACAGCCCTCACTCCACTCTCTCCAGTCCCATTGACTCCAGTGGAGCTACGGCCCATTGACCTCAGCTGGGATCTGGCCCTGAATTTCTTGGTTTTGTTCCAGTGTCGTCCCTCCCTCTATTGCAAAACCGAGTGATGTAGCTGAGAAAGGGGGAGAAATCTTTACCTCTCCTAGAGCTCAGTGGGAGCTGGAGGTCCCCCTCTCCCCAGAGAAGATCGGTGGGGAGAATTTCCCCCAGACGGGACAGGTGGCGAGCAGCCCCCCAGCCTAGGGGCAAGATCTCAGCACTGAGGCATATTTCACCCCGGGAAGGAGAGCTGCTTCCCTCGAGAGCAACTATTCCAGGGTGGGTCTTTTTGTGTCAGCGCCGGGCAGGGGTTCCAAGACCCCCGAAACGCCGTTCTCACCTGTGTCCAGCAGGGCCGAGAAGAGGCAGAAGAGGAGAGGTGTCTTCATGCTGCCGGGGATGGAGCCAGACTGTGCTGTGAGCCAGGGGTCTCTAATGCAGGAAACTTTCTGGCTGGAGGTTGGCAATTATCCACAGAGGCGAGGGCGATGTTGCAATTAGCGTCACCCAGCCCAAAATGGGAAGCAGGAAGGATTTTAATTGGAGGCCTTGGAATGTCAACACGGAGGCCCCCCAGGAATGTAAGGGCTGGATGCGGTGTTCATCACACGCCCGTGGGCGGCTCAGTGCACTGCCCTGGGTTTGATTCAGGCTTTGGGTGCTGGCCCCATGGGCTGGGGTGACGCCCGGCACCTGCAGCGGGTTGGGGGGACAGGTGCTGGGTTTGTGGCAGTTGCTTTCTCGCCGGATTGGAGGGGCCGAGGACGGCCCTCCACTGGGAGGTGGTGCCGGTGGAGCGTGACGATGGGGGACCCTGGCACTGGGGAGAGTAGGGGTGCCAGGTTTGCCCAGGTTGGCCCCTTCTCTGGGGTAGCTGCAGGGCCAGCTCCAGGCACCATTCTTGGGGCGGCACAGTCCGGGCGGCATTATTTTTTTTTTTTGCTTGGGGTGGCAAAAATGGTAGAGCCGGCCCTGGATAGCTGTCCCCAGGAAATCTGCGAGGCGTTCTATGCACGCGACCAGGCGGCCGGTGTCACGGGGTCAGGATCATCCCAGGTGTCCTGGGTTTTTGTATCTCAGAGGTGGGAACCCTAGAGCCTCTGGCATTGGGGGTGGGGGGGGGCAGGGGTATGGGTAATGCGGGGCACACAGAGCCCCTGGCATGGGGTGGTGGGGGCACACAGAGCCCCTGGCATGGGGAAGGGGAGATAGGGGACATGACAGATCCCCCAGCATAGGAGGAAAGGGGGCCCTGCTATATTAATTTAGACGGACTAAGGAGGCCGGAGGGGTGGCCTAACCCTGTCACTGTCCAGCATTAACCAGGGTGAAGCAGGGTGGGGGTTTGGCACATAAGATCCCAGCACATGGTGAGGGTGTGATGTTTAGTCCAGTGGCATCAGGTTTTTTGCAGCAATGTTACACTGTTTACTCATATTCAGCTTGTGTCCCACTATGACCTCTAGATCGCGTTCTGCAGTTCTCCTTCCTAGGCAGTCTCTTCCCATTCTGTATGTGTGCAACTGATTGTTCCTTCCTAAGTGCAGTACTTTGCATTTGTCCTTATTGAATTTCATCCTATTTCCTTCAGACCATTTCTCCAGTTTGTCCAGATGATTTTGAATTTTAATCCTATCCTCCAAAGCACTTGCCACCCCTCCCAGCTTGGTATCGTCCGCAAACTTTATCAGTGTACTCTCTGTGCCATTGTCTAAATCACCGATTAAGATTTTAAATAGAAAGGTATCCAGAACTGATCCCTGCAGAACCCCACTCGTTATGCCCTTCCAGCCTGACTGTGAATGACTGATAACTACTCTCTGGGAACTGTTTTCCAACCAGTTTTGCATCCACCTTATAGGTTGAATTTCCCTAGTTTATGAGAAGGTCATGGGAGACAGTGTCAAAAACTTTACTAATGGCAAGATACACTATGTCGACCACTTCCCCACATCCACAAGGCTTGTTACCCTGTCAAAGAAAGCTATCAGGTTGGTTTGACACAATTTGTTCTTGACAAATCCATGCTGGCTGTTACTTATCACCTTATTTTCTTCTAGATGTTTGCAAACTGATTGATTAAATATTTGCTCCATTATCTTTCCAGGTACACACCTTAAGCTGACTGGTCTGTAATTCCCCAGGTTGTCTTTGTTGCCCTTTTTATAGATAGGCAGTAGATTTGCCCTTTTCCAGTCTTCTGGAATCTCTCCCATCTTCCATGACTTTTCAAAGATAATTGCTAATGGCTCAGATATCTACTCAGTCAGCTCCTTGAGTGTTCTAGGACACATTTCATCAGGTTTTGGTGACTTGAAGACATCTATAATAATAATAATAATAATAATAATAAATGGAGATATCCCATCTCCTAGAACTGGAAGGGACCTTGAAAGGTCATCAAGTCCAGCCCCCTGCCTTCACTAGCAGGACCAAGTACTGATTTTGCCCCAGGTCCCTAAATGGCCCCTCTCAAGGATTGAGCTCACAACCCTGGGTTTAGCAGGCCAATGCTCAAACCACTGAGCTGTCCCTCCCCCCAAAAGTGAAGGTCAGATGCATCTCTAAAGCTGAGGTATTCATAGAATATCAGGGTTGAAAGGGACCTCAGGAAGTCATCTAGTCTAACCCCTTGCTCAAAGTAGGACCAATCCCCAGACAGATTTTTGCACTAGATCCCCAAATGGCCCCCTCAAGGATTAAACTCACAACCTTGCATTTAGCAAGCCAATGCTCAAACCACTGAGCTATCCCTCAATGTCTAAAAATCTAATTTGTCTAAGTAATTTTTAACTTGTTCTTTTCCTATTTTTGCCTCTAGTCCTACCTCATTTTCACTGGCATTCACTATATTAGGCGTCCAATCGCCATCAACCTTCTTGGAGAAAACAGAAACAAAGAAGTCATTAAGCACCTCTGCCATTTCCACATTTTCTGCTATTGTTTCCCCCCCTCGTTGAATAACAGGCCTACCCTGTCCTTGGGCTTCCTCTTGCTTCTAATGTATTTGCAGAATGTTTTCATGTTACCATTTATGTCTCTAACTAGTTTGATCTCGTTTTGTGCCTTGGCCTTT